TTTTTTTTTGTGAAGAACACCCCTTTCAGTGTTAGTGCTGCTGATAAGAGCAGACAGCACTACCACCGGAGGAGAGGCTCCATCTATTGGTGGGGAGCATCAACTGCTGGAAATCGGGTCCAGCGTCCCATTACACATGAAAAGAATGATTTGGAATATCCTGGCTGTGTGCGAGTGGCCGTGGTTCCTGCCAGCATTGATTGCCCTGCAAAATCAGGGGATTGACTGAGCAGGCTTATGTGCAAAACCAGAAGCATCTGTGAGTTGATTGCCCTGCAGAGCAGGGGATTAACTGAGCAGACCCGTGTGGGCTTGGAAAACTGATGTTGCCTTTGTATCTCTTCACCCTCAGAGGGGAGGGCGCGAGATTGGAAATTTAAGGACTGATACTGTCACCAGCTGCCTGCTCCAACACCGGCCTGCTTACTGCCAATGCCGGCTGCTAAGGGCTGATACTGTCACCAGCTGCCTGCTCCAACACCCGCCTGCTTACTGCCAGACCACAATAATTATGTTATGGCGGTGCACTTTTTACAACAAACCGTACTTCGGATGTTCTACCTTCTTCCCCCGAATACAACGTAGGGTCATTATAGCTGAATTTAGTCTGAGTGACAGCCCAAATACAGCTATAATGACCGTACGTTGTATTCAGGGGAAGAAGGTAGAGGGAGATTCATTCTCATTTAGCACATTGTGCCGTTTCTCCTTTGCCCGATCCTTGTGCCTTGCTGCTTCCTTCTGCTAGGAATCCCCACCTCCGTACCACTGCTCCCCCACCATAGCTAGAGCTGGTGGTGGGAAGGGGTCGGGGAATTCCGAAGCAGGGCGCCAAGGGATGTCCTGTTGAATATATGTCCATTCTTGAATGGGAGTCTGCCAGCCTGTGGCTTTATTTCGGGAGAGGCGTGACCTGCGTTATTGTATGGAGGATTGGTTGGAGAAGTATGACACAGTGGTGGATGGGGGGCTACCTCTTGGTCATCCTGCTGACGGGCTGGGAGATGCTAGGCTAGTTTTGGGTTATCAGCAAGTGTTGAAGTCAACAGCCATAACTTCAGCGACCAACACATCACTTCGCACTTTGGCGGAGGAGACTACAGCGGCCGTGGTGACAAGTGCAAAACCGATTGTGGCATCATCGTCGACATCACCTGCGACTACACCGGTGTGGGCAGGAGGGGTGATAACAGCGATCGTAATAACAACGACGTCAACAACAGCGGGAACTACCAGCTTCGTTTGTGTCCAATCGATATATGCTTGGAACCGGGGATCCGGCCCCTCCAGGACCTCCAGTTCCCACAAAATATCCAGCATATCGTGGATGGGGGCTTCAACCACTCAACCAGTGTCGTTGGCCGCCCAGCAACCTTCGACCCCTTCTGCATCTGACACAACAAAACCCCCCCCACCGCCTGCAGCTGCTTACATCCCCTCTCCATAGCAATCAGCCAGTCATTGGGAATTTATGTCCTAGTCTGAGGATAATCTTTTAC